AAGGTTGTTCCCGTAAGGCTGGGCTCCCAGGAATTTTTAACTCTTAAGTCAGTCCACACTCAGCCTTCAGTCTGAGTTCCATCAATTATAGTTTAAGTTTTCCTACCAGAGCCTAGCTCCAAGAGTTTCTGTTCCCAGTAAGCTGTGGTTCTCTTTCTTCACCTCTCCCTCCAGTTGTCAGGGCACTGATTTGCCCTGTGATTTCAATTATGTGACACATCTTAGAAGAGTTGTTGATTTTCAGTTTGTTCTGAACAAGCCTTTTCTTGTTGCGAGGATGAGAGTAACAACTTCCAAATCTTTACATGTCAAAGAGGAAACCAGAAAATCTCCACGATATTGTTTTTCATTGTTCATCAGCATGTCTTTTTCCCACTTGAATGTGAAATATTTGTGAGAGCAAGAACCATAGTCCTTCTACCCCTGGATTCCTAGTACCCTGCACAGTGCTGGAATTCTTCAGGGCTCAATCATGCACCTTCTTATCTGCTCTTCTTCATACATTCTCTAAGTTACCTTATCTATTCATCTAGCTTTAACACCGAAAGTTATAACTCTAGCCAATCCATATCTCTCCTTCAAAGCTGGCTAATTTATAACATCTGAAACATAAAAAGTTTAAAACTTATATTTTAGTTGCTAGTCCTAAGCTATTCATCCTTTCCCCGTCTTGGTAAGAGTTAATGGCCTCACCACCCAATTAGTTCTTCCAATCAGAAATCTGGCAGTCACCTTTGGCTCTTTTCTCTTCCTTACTAACTTCCTCCTTATCTACTACACTAAAAAAAATCCTGCCATTTCAACCTCCAAATATATCCCCAATCCGCTCCTCTCCATCTTCACTCTAAATCAACCTGGTCCAAGTCATCATCATCTCTAGCAAGTCTTTCATAAAAGCCTCCTCATTGCTCTTCCACTTCTACTGTCATTCACCCTACTCATTGAGCAGCCAGATTGATCTTTACACATAAATTTAATCATGTCAATCCCATGTTTCAAAGTTTCCAATCATCTTCCTTTTTTACTGAGACTCAGATCCTTTTATACTGAGACTCAGACTTATCATTCTCTATAAACACACTGCCCTATCTGAGTCCTACCTCTGGAATCTCATATCCTGCCATACTCCATCTTGTCCACTATATTATAGTCACACTGGTCTTCCTTGTCTCTCAAACCCTTCTCTACTTAAAAACTTTCACAAATGATGTTCCCTATGCCTAAAAAATACTCTTTCTCTTAGCATTTTTTCCTATTAAAAGACCTCATAATCAAAAAGGATTACTATATTAAGTGGTCATTTGATTCTAATGATTAATATTTTAGATTTTCCCAGTTTTTCAAAAGTGTAATTTTTATTATGTCCCAACATGAATAAAATTGTTATTACATGAAAATTCAAAATAAACTAATCCAATTGACTGGTTTAATTAATCTGTATTTTAAAACTTTCTAACTTACCTTTGATATTATGCTAGATGTTGGGAATGCAAGTTAAATTAACAGTTGTATTACAAAGAATTTAACAGTTTTTTTCCTAGTATGTCCATTCTTAATTACCCAGGGACTTGTTTTACACTATATATAACCTGTGCCTTTAGAGAAACTTTCCCTCATTTTTATGCTGAGGCAAAAGAAAGAAAAGAAAGAAAAGAAAAGAAAAGAAAAGAAAAGAAAA